TCTATCAAGCACATCTCATCAGGGCTCGTATAAGGATCGTATGCTATAAGCCCAAGCCCACAATCGTCCCAGTGCAGTTTCCCGTTGAGGAACATAGTCTTCTTGATATAAGAAACCCGAAATGCACGCGTGGAGTGAACGGTGTGTTCTACCCATTTTTCCTATTCGGAACAGAACACCTCGAATTCAATGAAAAATTGTTTCTGGCGATGACAACGGACAAGCACGACCCGTAGCTTGTTAAGATTCCGGCTTCAACCCGTGCGATGAAACCATAGCCGTCATTTCCCTTTGGAATATATTTGGGTTCAGGAAGTGGAAACCACTGGTTGGTCATGGGATTGCAGATGTACAGCTCATCTAAGCCGTAACCAAAACCCATCCACTTGTACAGCACAAGCCCGTCGTGAATGGCATGGATGATATACATTCCCCCTTTCTTACCTTGCTGCTGATATTTCGGAATGGGAAGTACACAATAATTAGGGGAAGGGGAGTTTGGAAAAGGATACATAATATCCATTAGTTTTTTCTCCGAAAAAAGGGTCATCCCACAACCTTCAGTACTCATTTTGTTGTAAATAACGACCCTCGGAGGGCGGCGCCAAACCGAGCCCGAGAAAGAAGAGGCTTGCCAGCCTCGAGAGTTGATGTTATAGAAGAGGACAAAAGAAGGATCCGAGATTAGAGAAAGCCACAGTTTTGAGACACTTTTGCATCGGAAAACCATCTTAATTGGGAGCCTGCACACAACTTCCATCAGGAACCACTCAGGCCATAGCCCATCTTGAAAACTAATAGTTACCTCATTATTAATGGCTCCATGTAGTGGACTATCAGCAGATTCCGAAATTCTCCTCCTTTTGGAGACATCTGAACCGGAACAACATTTGAGTTTTCCATTGATTTCCATCTCCATCATCTCACGCATTCTCGATTACCCTATAGAAAAAGAGAGATGTGAATATCAAAATCATGATCAAAAGGTGTACAAAGTGTTGAGCATGTAACCTAGTCTTACTAACATAGTAAGTACAACTTAGAACTTATAAATTCAAGTTCAAATAGCACAATAACACAACTTCAAGTGACTGATCAAGGTCTCGACGAGGTAGCAGTAAACACTACCCCTTATCACTCATGTCTAAGAGTGACATTAGTGTTTCCTACAACTTTCAAGGAAATCTGCTAAAACCGTCTCCCATTACTTTCCAGGACAATTCTAGAACTACCTTAGATTGTTCAAATTGAGGTTACAAAATTGTCGACTATGTGATTAAGGTTTCTATCTAAGGTGAGGTACACTACAAAAAAACCTCTTACATTCCAACGGAAATTTTCCGTTGGAATTCTTTATATATCCGTTGGAATAGGTATTCTAACGGATATTCCTACGCATAAAAATTCGTAGGAAAAATGGCCGTTGGAATAGCTAAAATCCAATGGAAAATCCTATGGAAATAAATTCCTACAGCTATTCCAACGGAAAAAATCCGTTGGAATTCCTCAACCATCCAACACTTTTTCCAACATAAAATTAATTTTGTTGGAATATTCATTGGAATTTCCAACGGAAATTTTTCCGTTGGAAATTTTTCGTTGGAATTGAAGTGTTTTCTTGTAGTGGTAAGAGGAACGATGATACTTGCTACGATTCATATACAGCCAATGACACCTTAATGGAGAATAACTTGCTCATGGTTAGACTACAAACCATATCTTTGTTACAAAAGGGTAGAAATTGTAACAAATGGATCTTTTCTGCTTCTCATATGCAAAAAGATAGGGGTGAGCAAAACCGAGCCGAAACCGAAGAATCGAACCGAACCGATGTATTCGGTGCGGTTCGGTTCGATTGTCGGTGCGGTTAAACTTTTGTAAAACCGCACGAGTTACGGTGCGGTTCGGTTTTATGTCCGAATGATGCGGTTTTAACCGAATCGCACCGAATATA